ACATACAAATATTACAAGACAAGTTTTGATAGGAAATAAGGATGAAAACAACTACTGTTAACTTATTTCTAAAAAATAACACATACTCAATTATATACAAAAATTATACCACAATGTGGTACCTATGTAAATTGTCACATTTGGGTGACGTGCAGTCGTTGAATTGAAATTATCAAAATAATGACAATAGTTTCATTTTCAAATGCATGTATCAACCTTACATGCCCTTTCAAACAAGAAAATTGATTAAAAATTATATTACAACAGTCAGGCATTTTCGATAAGTCATTGAATTGATTTGAATCGAATGCAATTCAGTATTCAAATGTCAATGAACAATTCCTAGAAATTAGTCACAAATTCACCACTTCATTAAGCCAAAATTTTTATACTCAGTCTAAAACTTTACATAAAATGCACTTTTGATTTGTATGAAAAAAATTCAATCAAAATCATATTTGCTACTAAAATATTAGGAGAAAAATTGACTAAATCAATAAAAATTACATGGTTGGTTCAAAATTATTTACAAATTGAATGAAAAAATTCACTACTTACAGACGACGGTAATATACTCGAATATAAACAATGAATCAGTGAAACAGTCTCTATAATTTTGTCTCGATTGCACACTAAATATCCACACCGATTGACACAAATACACCTACAATGTTAAAGGTCGGCTAACCGTTAACATAAAACTTCCACTAAAAAGAGAACTTTCATAGAGCTGCACAGGATGTAAGGTTACGTCGCTAATATTCACAGTCTTTACATTAGTCTTAAACAGAATTATACCTCCCATGTTATGACAAACCTGGTAGTTCAAGGAATTTCAAGAGATTTGCAAAACGTTTGAAATTTCCGAGCATTACTTCAGCATTTTTATAGGTAATGTTCGAGGATCATCGTACGTACAGTTGTCTTCATAGAACATGTCGCACATGGACGGTGTCAGCTTCCTCAATCACCGCTGCAATAAGAGCGCTCATACCGTGCGACCGCGACATGTTCACTGAAGACGAGTGTACATACCTAGGGAGAGAAGGTAGGTGCTATTATGAATACCAAAATTTGAAATTGAAACTTCACTCCAAGTGTTCTCATGCTGAGGTTACAAAATATTACTGATTTAATTTGAAAGATTTTTTCTCGGTTGCCGAATAAATGGTGGATATTCTTCATGAGGAATAAGAGGAGCTTTACATAGATGAGCTAACGGGTCTCCAGCAACGATTGAAAACCACGTGACAAATTACTATGCAATCGTCATCAAACAAATACAATCGGAATTTGACAAACCGAAAAGGTTCGAGGTGGGAAAGTTGCATAATTCGATAATCCATTTGAGTCCAACAAATATGAATTCCCAAAATTATGCGTTATTCACAAAATGACTAAAATGGGAATTAGTCAGCTACATAACACTAGGATGGAACTTTCATCATAGTAGATAGCAAATAATTCATGAGTTGAGGGCATTGAGAACAATTCAATTTATTATAAAAGTTTTTTAGCAGATGATCAGAAAAACATCTTTTGGATGTTTTGACAACTGGACAAATCTCGAAGAAACAATCTAGGAAGGCTTATCTCCAAAACTTGAAGGTTTTGAAGTCCTTTTTAACATCCTAGTTTGTCAACCTCAAATTTTTGTAATTTTTGTATTTCACCGTCTTCCAAGTCTTTGAATGTTTGAACCCTATGGATATTTATTTATTGAAACTGGCTTGAAAACTACCCTTGTATATAATTCATACCGATTTGAGATCTTGGATCTGAGCTCACACTTATTGAGTCTATCCAGCAAAACACAATATTGTACGAGCCTACAGTAAGTAAGCAAGTTTGTATCTCAATTTTATATCTTTCTTCAATCTCTCATTACCCTGAACAGTTTTATGTTCGCTTCTAAAATTCATTTTGAAATCTCAGCGTGATTGAATTATTTATGTATGTATTTATTTTATCACAAACGTTTTCCAAATCTTCCAAAATCGCTTATGTACTCAAAATAGTTTATCACGTGTTGTATGAAAAAAAAACTGATGGCTAATTAAATGTTATGAACACATTTTTAGCATTCTTCAAATCGACTGTTTCTCGAAAATGAAAACTGAATCTGATTTGTGTTTTCAATTTATTACCTATATTTATCACAGCACCGTTTTTTTAGTTTCGATAGTTCGGGAATAGCGGAAAACTAAAGAAGTTTTTAGGAAACAATCAACAGGAAGAACGTTTCAATCTTAGGAAAAATGACTTTGGAAAGAAAATTATTTAGGTAGTTACCTACCTACTCATCAACAATGATAAACTGTTTGAAATTTCGCATAAATAAAAACCTGCCAGTCTTATTGAACTAAATATACTAACGTCACTAAACTAATCAAGGCAGTGATACCTGTACACTGTATCTACAGGGTGACTCGTAGTTTTTGTAAGTTCAACCTTTTTTTTTTTCGTATTTACAGAACAGAGCCAAAGACATGCTTTATACAGAAAATGTGTGTCTGGATTGTTAACATTTTGCGGAATAAGTTCCCACAATACCTACATTTCCAAGATTGTGGGTTTTTCAAAATCGATGGCCTGTTTGAATTTCTTGGAATATGGAATGCTTCATAGACTGTGAACATATTCATAATATACATTGTCTGCAATGTGATATTGCAACGCCATCTCAATTTAAATCCCGTTGACCGAATTTCAGAAACAAAAATTCTATGATACTCGACGAATTTGTGAGGATATATTATCTGAAAGATTGATATTTTCAAGACCTACTATTGCTTGCTGAAGGGGTCTGAAATTCAAGAACGTCTATTACGCAAATTCCACCGAAGAAGTGGATAGAGTCCGACCAGGTTAACTTTGGGTCATCACGTGGTTACCTATGCATTGAATATGCATATGCGTTGAATCACGTGGTGTCCGAAAGTTAACGTGGTCGGACTCTAGCTAATTCGCTCCAGGTTCAACTGAAACAATACCAATGTTTGCACTCTTCATTCACCTTGTATCAGAATCTGAGGAGACGATGAAGCCACTTGAGAGATTAATTAAAGAAAATATTCTCCATGCTCTGAGCATGTTGAAAGTCATCTCTTAAAATCAGTGTCTGATCACATAAAGTAACAGCCAGACTGTAGTCTTCTGCAAGTATTTATGTTCTGTTTGACAGCCCTTCATCAGTTAAAACAATATTCAAGAGACTGATGAACTATTTTAGTGAGTTTTCACGTTTTTCTAAACAGTGAGTTCCAATTTTCAGAACCGTACTTAGGCGACGGTGCGATTTCCACAACCTCGAGTCATCCGGTGGATTACGAATATATCTCAACTCACTGAAGTTGATTCTTGAATTCATAGAGTATTCAGATACAAGCGATAATGTAGAATCAATTATAATAATTTGGTAATTAAAACAGCATTTACATTACATTAATCAAACCTACCTGAACGTTTCTTGCAGAAGATAAAACATGAAATTAATATTTTTTTCAAATAGATTCGGTACAAAACAACACATATTTTGCATAAACAATATATCAGAGATAAATTGACTATCCAGTTCATGCAGCTCCTATGATGATCAATTTTGATTTCCACTGTTCTGTGTTGAAACCAAATGAAAAACACGTACCAGTCTCACTTATACCAGCTGAAACTGCTCAATGGTCGGGCGCTTCATAGATTGACTATTGGAAAACGCTAAGATTTGGGTGAATGGAAAAAGCGGAAATTTTAGAAATTACCATTGATAAGCCCTTTCTGATAAAATATATTGGGTTCTAATTTCTGGATCAATTTGGCCACAAACTTTTTGGAAAAACAATCCTTGCAATTTAGGTCTTCAGCAAGCAAAAGTGACCCTTGAAGATACGAATTCTTCCAATGTGTTTCCATTTGTGGATAATGCTCCTTGGGTAGCACTATATCATAGAATTTTTGTAATTGGAAATCATTCAATGGGTTTCAAATTGAGAGCGTTTTGCAGTTTTAAATCACACACACTGTATTCTTGATCCAAGTGTTGTGGAATGCAGATATTTCAAGTAAATTACTTACATTTATTATCAAAATTCTCAGCCATGCTCTACAATTGTTTTCAATTAATTTTTAACAGTTTCAATAATGTTTGGGTGTACCTCATGAAGCATTCATTTCATCATCAGTATAAATGGAATAATTGTAAATCTGAATTGTTATCATCAGAATTTTGACATTATTGAAATATATTTCAACTATGTTCTTTGTTATCATAGACAACAGACCTGAAATAGATACCTACTCTCGATTTTCAAACTTCACATTCTATATATTGTTTCATGTTCACATAAGGACTGCCATTGGGAATTGAACGGTACAAGATCGGCACGGTTTATAGAGAAAAGAAACTCCTGGCTGCTAAATACATACAAAATACGAAAAATCCAGTTGCAGCTAATTCTCAATCCTTATTATTTCATCCGTTTCTTTTGTCTATCAGAAACTGACCCTGCCGCACTGGAAAAAAATCAATCATCGGCCTAAGTCATAGAAATGGTGAACGAACTTTGAAGATGTGAGTTGCATAGACAGATCAGAACATACCCTCTGTCAGACTCATTGAGAAAATAAAAATTAAAAAACTAGAAACGTCTGACATTGAATTGTGGTGGCTGTTCGGTATTTCAAGTCTTGAAACATTCCATAGCAATGAAATTTCTTGAATCATTTATTTGACTCATCAAAGCTGTCAAAAACCACGTCACTCTCCATTTAGGCAGACCTATATCAGTAATGAATCAGATTAAAAATCACACTCTGGGCTACTAAATATACACGAAACACACACTAATATGAACGTTTTTTGCAGCGCGATTGTCCTTTTCTTCTTGCATTGCATAGATTCCCTGATTTATATTTGGTGTAGAGGTTACTTAATTATGTTACTAAACAGTTCGTTTGTAAGTAATTAGAGAGACAGAAAATGGAACGATGTGTAACAACTTGCGTTATCTGCGCACCACCAACCTAGGCGATTCCCACTGGTGGGGGGAAGGGGGCAATTCTGAGGGGTGGGCGACTGTCGAACTGAAATAGAAAAAAGCACATTGATAATGCAGGGTATGATTATTACATGAAAGCGATAAAAAATCTAAAGGTTAGTTGTAAATTGCTATGAAATAATATACCTGGAGCTCTACTTGAGACTATCCACCCCCAAGTATATGTAGAATAATAATATTTGAGAAAAAGTTCGAAATAGATTTGTATTTGTAGAACAATGTTCAACTTCAACGCAGGGGCATCGATAATGTTTTTTCTTGGGGGAAGTAGCCATAAATAATATACTTTACCCGTCTAGAGTCCGTTCCCCTCCTCCCAATTGTGGTATTTATTTTGACTATATTTGTTTTTGAATTTAACCATTCATTTTTTACAATATTATCTGACCTAGCTTTGTCAACAAGATTCTTCTTTAAACGATTAAGCATATTATTACCATTATTATACTAATTGTTGAACCACTTGGTATATCGCAACGAAGTTTGGAAGGCACGAATATGAGATAAAAATCTACTTCTTCAAGAAAAAACAACAGCTCGAAGTTATAATATGGCGGCTGAGCACCATCTTTCATAATTTATTCAAATGGAGCACCCCGTGTATTATTCTATTTTTGAAATATCCCCATAATTGTTAACAGTTTCATCTAATACTTCTTCTTCTTCGAAGCACTGGTGGGCGGGTAAACACCCCTGCACGTAGGCCTCCTTATTCGGGCCCATTGTGCGCCCACATGTTCCGACATGTATGCCGACTTCCTTGAAGAAGTTCAGCAGCTTCCTCAGCTGAATCTCTTTCACGTCCTCTGGCCTCAACATTTTGTTGCCAAGGAGAGCCCTACTCTGATGTGTCAGTGCTCGGCACTCAGTGAGGACATGCGACGACGTTTCGTCATCTTCTAGGCACCATCTGCAAAGGGGATCATATTTTATCCCAATAAGCTCTAGGTGCCTATTGAGGTGGTTGTGCCACGTTAGGAGCCCCACTACCATTTTAAGGTGTCGCCTGTTGAGGAATATAAACTCTTTTGTGAGTCTCTTCAAAGGTTCCTTCATGTGGAGCTTTCATTGTCTCCTTCCTGGTGTGTCCTGCCATATTTTGAGGAATTGTTTTTGCAGCTGTCCCTCTATGGAGGACATTGCCAGACTGTTTGGGGTATTCCCAAGATTGGTTCCGGTCCGACCGGGGTCCGTCCTGAACCGATCTTGGCCAGTCTGTCTCCCCTCATTTCCGGGTATCCCCGAGTGTCCCGGGACCCAAATGAGGCTGACTTTTCTTGATTATGCCAGGTTTCCCAAGGCATTTCTGCACTCGGACACCAAATTGGTTATGATCCTATTGGATTGCAAAGCCAGTATTGCAGCTTTCCTATCCAAGCATATAGTGATTGGTCTACGACCTCTCATAATCAGATTTTCTTGGACACAAGTAAGTATTGCGAGTACTTCAGCCTGGAACACAGAGGCATATTCGCTCAAAGGAACCAAGATTTCTTTTCTTGTTCCTTCATTGTATACCCCTGCACCTGAACTGCTCCCAAATTCAGAGCCATCATCTAATGATACACTCTACTCCTAAATTCGATTTTCTCATAAGTGACATTTTCTTCATTTCAAACGCAACCAAAAACCCGAATGTTGTTTTCAATCAAGTTGGATTAGACCTCTAATGGCAAATTCGTGATTGGGTTTTCTTTTCTTTCATTCTTTCTCAAAACTCGATGCTCATCTTCTCCTGATCATAGCGAAAAACTTGTTGAGGCGTATGAAAAATCGGTTTGGTTAGTGGCAAAATAGTGTAATGTATTATCATGCCAAAGGTTCCATCGACATATACTATCGAATGGCATCAATGAAAAAAATATATGGAAAACGAAAATTCGGGGTTAGTCCCCTTTTTCTAGCCAAAGTTCTACGTTGTAGCAATTTTGACGCCACCTCTGTTCAAATTTCCGTGCTGAAAGCACAATCACGCGGAGCTCAATCATTTAAATTGTTTCAAAATGGCGTGCTTGATTTTTTTTGTTTTTTTTTTTTTTCGAATTGGGATTATTGATGAGATTGGATTGAAGAATGTTATCTATTTCAGGTCGTCAAACCATGTCCCCGTTCTGTTGGAAGTAATTGATGACGGATAGTCTCAAGTGTTCCAACTGGTATATATGTTTATTTGAATAGGAAATTCAAATATATTTTTCAAATAAATCAGAATTAATATTTTCAATACTTCATATTGCAAGATTCCTTTGTCCATGCTATACAGTATTTTTTCCAGGAGAGTAAATTACTTCTAGAGATTGGCAGGTTAGAATACGCACGAATATGGAAAAATATTATTTTACACACTTTGGCAATTAGATCACTCTGAAAGCTAGATCGTCCTTCTTCTCCATTGAAACTCAACTTGTAACATGAGTATGTTGAAATATTCAGAAGACCCATTCCTGAGACATGTTTTGAGTTAAAAAGTCGACATAAAGTTGGCTCCGGAAATGCTTTGTTTAGGAGATACAGGGTGTTGAGATAGATTATTTTTCTTTTTTTTATGTAATTACTTTTGCAAGGAATAAACTCTTCTGGGGTTTCTTCCAGGGGGGAATATCATATTTATTTAATATTGCCCTAACTTTTTTTGATAGTACATGGCCCTTTTCATGAAACAACCTCATTTCCACATGCTTTTCAAATGAAAAAAGGGAAACTCCCCCAACAACTAAGGCGCTAAGTGAAATTGCTGAGAACATTACAAAAACTGAGTATGTGGTAGATGTCGTCAAAAGAACAATTTTTTCGCAAATGCAGTTATTTTCATCTCCACCAACAACTAAGGCGTTAAGTGAAATTGCTGAGAACATTACAAAAACTGAGTATGTGGTAGATGTCGTCAAAAGAACAATTTTTTTGCAAATGCAGTTATTTTTATCTCCCCCAACAACTAAGGCGCTAAGTGAAATTGCTGAGAACATTACAAAAATTGAGTATGTGGTAGATGTCGTCAAAAAGAACAATTTTTTTGCAAATGCAGTTATTTTCATCAAACATTCCATAGGGCATATTACTGGACATAAATTTAAATTTGTTAGTTATATTTCATCAATTTTTGGTAGCCTTTCATATACATTATAACCATCATTTTCGTTGATATACAATTACCGGAAAAGGAAAAAAAAATGCGAAATTGATTGCCCTGTAACTTGCCTTGCTCGATTTTGGTGAAATTCCAACCCAATCGTGAATTCAATTGATGTTTCGAAATGCGAGCCTGGGTTTCAGTTTAAAGAAAATATGGCTTGGTAGTTATACAGAGAAAAACAAAAGTTACTATTCCACGCTTAACTTATTAACGCCCTGTGGCAAAAGTGAATGATTAAACCGGATTAAACACAGCTTCATCATGTTTCAGATTGAAGTGCAGAACCTTCATGAACTCATCGATTACCATCTCGGTAAATCATCTATAAGATGATATCAATTATTTTCATCTCGTTTTTTAGTACTCTCCAGTAAGCAGAAATCCTAATTACTAAATACAAACGAAAATCAGACCTCCTAGGTGAAGTCTATAACGAGTATGTCCTCCTCGAGCATTCAACTGCCGTGGCATCCAGTTGATCAAATTTCTCAAGCAGTCTTGAGGAATTCTCCTTGAAGGGCAAATCGTTGCTCTTGAAGAGTAACTGACAAGGCCAAACGAAGGCCATTGAACCTCTGGAGTTCATCCCAAAGATCCTCAATAGTTTCTAAAGTATTGTTGATAAAAATCTTACTTCCTCAAAATACTTGTATCTTCTCTTGAAAATAAGATTTTTACTCTAATCAACAACCATTGTATTGTGAAGGGACGAAAAGGGACCACACTTCAATCCAAAACATAATGAAACATCGTTTGTGTAGTTTTTACATAAGATTGGAGAATGGTTCTGAATTTCAGTTATAAGATGTTATACTTTCTTGAAACACCTGTATCTTCCCTTAAAATGAAGATAATGACGTGAATAATAAACCATTGTGTTAAGAAGGGATAACACTTCAATCCGAAACATAATGAAGCCAAGATTAACCAGTCACCTTTGCCACATAGTGTTAAGAAGTTAAGTGGAAAGAGTAACTTTTGTTTTTCCCAGGATAATAATCAAGCCATCAGCTTTTTCGAGAATTAAAATTCAGGGTAACACTCCGAAATGTTGATCTATCTATGATTTGGTCGAGATTTCACCAATATTAGACTAGAATTAAGAAAGTTACAGGGTGATCAATTTGTCAAATTTTTTTGTTTGCCGGATTTTTTTGCCGGCCCGTGTATCAGGAACGTTTTTATTTCGAATCGGGATTTCAAAGTAATGTGGGTTATACATATTTACCTCCAATATTGCTCTCGTGGAAAAAATAGCGTATTTACAGGCAAAAAATATGGCATATTTCTTTCAATGTCACCATTCACACAAAACACTTCCAAAATACTTCATTGCCTATGATAGTGAAGAATAGTATTTACAGTGGAGCTTTATATAAACAATAATATTACAAAAATAATGAAATTAAAAAAGCAAAACTCGAGAGGTGACTGATCAGATGACTGTAATGAAGCTCAAAAAGAATGATAAAAAAGTAAAGCACTAACCTAAAAAATAAATGCAGTCAGGCAGCACAGAGAAAGATGACGGGTGATAACAAAATTTCTAGGGTCTTCTTGAAAGGGGCACAGCTGTTGTATTCCTCCTTCCTGTACAACAACCATCATCTTACTTGAGCCGTTTTGTAATGTTTTTTACGTATATAAGTAAGTTGTGGATTATTTTCATTTGTTAACTTTCCAACTTGATCAAAATCATGACTGAATCGGCCTTTATTCAATTGAATTTTTCAAACTAAATGAATAACTCACCAAAGGGACCATTTCAATGAACATTTGAAAATGTAAAGTTTGTAAAAAAAATGGTGATATATTCTTTTAATCAGGAATGCCCTTAAATAAATTAGGTTTGCATTATCTTTTGTTGTGAACTTTTTTTTCAATATCATTTG